AAGAGATCAAGTGGGTCCATTTCCTTGATATAATTTGACTTTGCTGCTGTGTGTAGGTGGCGGATGCCTCCTGTATTGCGCAGCTCCTGCATTTCTGTCAGGCTTTGCATAATTCTTCTGCACTCACAACTGGAAATACACATGAAATGTTGTTAACCATCTCCAAAAATGATAGCTCAAAGGAAATTAAAGTATTGGATATGAACATCCAGGAGGTTTAATGTTGATACCTGAAACAAGGTTGGAGTCTTCCTCAAAAGATATAAATGGAGCTGACAGAAGGTTCACTTTTTAATGTCTTATATGAATGATTATAAGTTTATTTCATGACAATCCCATTTTTTGCGGTTAGTCCCGAGGAAATCCAACATGTTACCAGGCGTGAATATCTTTACATCTTTCTGCTACCAGTTGAGAGATGCCACCACCTCCATTGGGACAGGGATTTGATCTGCCAGTGTAATGGGAGTGCCCTGCCACATATTGCAGTATTTATAGACACTGTAAAGTACAACATTGTTCAGGACTCGGTGATCAGTTTCACCAGCTTGTAAGCAAATGAGTTGATGGCAGTATGGGGCAGATCTGTGCACTAACAAACACAACAGCATATGCACACAATACCCACGCAATGCAAACATGGACATGCATACATGCTCGCACAGCTGCATGCATACATGCTGGCACAGCTGCATGCATACACCAATGTGCGCACACAGGTATGCGCATGGACATGCGCACGTAGACGCAATCTAATTAAACAACAGCTCACCCTATCCGCAGAGTCTGTTTAGAGATAGTTCAGAGAACCGCAGCAAAAAAAGTACACAAACTGAACCACGGCAATGTCTCCCAGTAGCAGCTGAATAATTTCTCCAGCAAAATACAGCAACTGAATGATAGAATATACAAAGCAGAATTAGTAAGTTTGCAGATGACACCAAAGTGAGTTGTGTAGTGGAAGTGAAGTAGAATAGGAACTTGATCAAATGGACCAATGGACTGAGGAGTAGCAAATGGAGTTTAATTTAGATAACTGCGAGGTGTTGCATTTTGGTAAGACAAACCAGGGTAGGACTTACACAGTTAATAGTTGGGCCCTGGGGAGTGGAACAGAGACACCTAGGGGTTCAAGTGCATAGTTCCTTGGAAGTGGTGCCACATGTAGACATGGAGGTGAAGGCGGCATTTGGCATGCTTTCCATCATTGCTCATACCATTGAGTATAGGAGATGGGGTATCATGTTATACAGGACGTTGGTGAAGCCACTTTTGGAATACGTTGTGCAGTTCTGGTTGCTGTTCTGTAGGAAGGTTATCATTAGATCATAGATCATAGATTCCTTACAGTGTGGAAACAGGCCATTCGGCCCAACAAGTCTACACCACCCCTCTGAAGAGCATCCCCTACCCCTGATTTCCCCATGTCTAACCACCTAACCTAAACATCCCTGGACACTATGAGCAATTTAGCATGGCCAATCTACCTACCCTGCACATCTTTGGACTGTGGGAGGAAACTGGAGCACTCGGAGGAAGCCCACGTAGATACAGATAGTCACCCGAGGATGGAATTGAACCCGGGTCCCTGGCGCTGTGAGGCAGCAGTGTTAACCACTGTGCTACCGTGCCGCCCCAATTAAATTGGAGAGGGATCAGAAAAGATTTACCAAGATGTTACTGGACTATAAGGCGAGGCTGATTAGGCTGGGACCTTTATTTTTTGCTGGAGCGTACGAAGTTGAAGCGTGGTCTTAAAAAGGTTTATAAAATGACGAGGGGCACAAATAAGATGAATCTTTTTCCTAGGGCAGTGGGGTTCAAAACTAGAGGGCATAGGTTTAAAGTGAGAGGAAAGAAATTTAAAAGAGACCTAAGGGGTAATTTGTTCACACAGAGCGGGGTGTGTGAATGGAACAAGCTGACAAAGTGTTAGAGGCAAGTACAATTACAGCATTTAAAAGATATTGAGAAAGGTACATGAGTAGGAAGGGTTTCAAGGAATCTGGGCCAAATGCAGGTAGATGGGACTAGTTCAGTTTAGGAACCCCGGTTGACGTGGATGAGTTGGACCGAGGGGTCAGTTTCTGTGCTGTATGACTCGATAATATACATGATGGTACGAAGCTGATATGTTCCTCTTCCAGCAGTTTGTTCTACAGGCTGAGTGAAGGGGTTTGTGGGGTAGTGACAGTACCTCTATCCTGGGACAATGTGACCTGCCAGGTAGGGTTTCTTTTTCAGTATTTATCCAGTTTCCCTTTTGAAAGTTATTATTGGTTCCGTCTTCATTGCCCTTTCAGGCAGTGTGTCCCAGATCACAACAGCTCACTGTGTTAAAAAGAATTCTTTGCTGCTTTGTGGTTTCTTTCCTGCTGTTTCAAAATCTGTAGCCTCAGGTTTTTGAGCTGTCTGGCTGTGGAAACAGTTTCTCCAAGTCTACTCGATCAAACCTGAAAGTCACTGATTCTGATAGTGAAACATAAAGTTAGTTAATGTTGCACATTTTACACATTTATTGTAATCATTGAATCATAGAATCCCTATAGTGTGGAAGCAGGCCACAGTGTAGAAGGTGAACTGAGGTTGTTGTAGGGAGGAGGAGCAAATGAAATCCTTGCCAAAGAATGTAAAATCTTTATTTTACATTTGCGAAAGTTAGGGAGCCGTTATTACTTGTGAAAAAAATATCATGGATCCTACTGTAATGAACACTGTCAATTGTTAAACTTAAATCCGAGATTGAGATCTGGGGGTGTAATAAAAAATTTAGTGAGTACCTCTTTAAAATCTTCCAGCTTTGTGCGTGTGCAATGAAAGCACTTTCGCTTATGATTGCTCCAGTTGGAAAAAGTTGTGTTTGGGGTGATGGCCTTTTGTGTATTGAAGTGTCAGTAATTTTTGTTTGAAAAGTTGCCTTATGCCAGTTGTTGTGTGCCATTTTAAATCCTGTGGTGTCTAAGAAAATAATGCTTTCCGTGTGTGTTGTGGCTTTAATGGAGAGTTGATAATTATTGAGGATATTAACAAATTCTTCTAATTCTGTTCTGAATTCAAATGCTCCCTATGTCAGCATGTATACAGAAAGTATTGTTATTGCATGACGGCATCACCTAATAAAGCAATTCGTGAGAATGAAATTGAAGCCCCCAAAATTTAAATAATAGCCCCCAAGAAAATCTCAGGAGGAGCCCTAAACAAACATTAACAGTTTGATCCCTATTCAGTGAAGTTTTTATTACAAAATTTGGAAGACTGGATGAATAACTTTATTACAAATGCTTATTTTTAGTGATGACCCCATTTTCAGCTGAATTAGTAAAACTGCACCAGGTTGCCACCTCTTAAACCCATCCAGGACTGAGAAAATGGGGGATTCTGTTTTATTCTGTACGATTGTATGACTGTTACATCTGTGATTACGCCAATAAATTGTTAACAGGAGATTGCAGGCCACGCTATCTCTGCCCAACTTCCTGACTGAAAAACTTGACAACTGGCTGCAATGGAAAATTGCATGAGCAGGACTTTGAAATGCTGCTGAGATGCAAACGGATTTAACATAAAGACAAGTTTCATGTGTCATTTCTTATTATTTCCCTTTGTTTTTATTTAAATCAGATTTATTTCTGGATGTAGTGATATTGTCACTGGATTAGTTCTGGTTAACGGTCTTGGGATGCAGCATTTTACCACAGCAGCTGGTGGGATTTAAATTCAATTAATAAAAATCTCTGGGATATAAAGCTGGATTCATTAACCAGGAAAACAATCATAATGAACTTTAGGGAAGGAAATCTGTCCTTAGTCAGCCTGGTTTACATGTGACTGCAGACCTACATTGACTCCTAACTGCCTCTGAAATGACCCCTCAAGCTGTTGAGTTCAAGGGCAGTTAGGGATGGACAACGAATGGTGGTCTGGCAAGTGCCCCCCCACCCCCAGATGCCTCTCAGCACCAGGGACCTGGGTTCAGTTCCACCCTTGGGTGACTGTATGTCTGTGTGGAGTTTGCACATTCTCTGCGTGTCTGTGTGGGTTTCCTCCCACAGCCCAAAGATGTGCAGGTTAAGTGGATTGGCCATGCTAAATTGTCTGTGGTGTTCAGGGATGTGTAGATGAGGTGCGTTAGCCATGGGAAATGCAGGGTTACAGGGATGGGGTGGGTCTGGGTGGGATGCTTTTCAGAGGGTCAATGTGGACTTGTTGAACTGAATGGCCTGCTTCCAAACTCTAGCGATTCTAGTGATTCTATGGATAAGAATGAAGGAGAGCAAACGTATTTTTTGTAGCAATAATTTTGTCAGATGTCAATGGCTTGTACAAAGGTGGTTCTTAATGGAACCTTATTGTATCAATCCTCCTCCATCTTTGGAGAAACACTGTGCAGTGGCTACCATAGGATGTACAATTAATGGTATTCATATCATGGAAGAAAGACTGGGTTATATTTCTGTAGCACCTCTCGGTGTCTCAAGGCACTTTTTATAGCTGATTAAACGCTCCTTTAAAATTTGACTGGTGGGACGTGACGTCTCTGGCTCAACTACTATTGGTTGTCCTTCCTGAGTTGCCCAATATGAGGTAGCAGTGAGCTTCCTCCTTGAACTGCTGCAGTTCAAGTGTAGTCATTGCTGTAGCTTCAGAGAGGTTAGGGGATGTGATTTGTATTGTACCTTCAGATTCTAAACATTGTCTTCCAGAGTGTGATGCTGCAGGGACGCTGAAACACCAAAACCCTGTCATGTCGACTGAGTAATACACCCCCAGCTCGAATGTAACCTACTCGGTGTAGAGATCCTGTGATCTACTAGCATCTCAGCATTTGACAAATCATAGGGCATTGCCATATTCCTGATGTTTTGATTCAACTAGTTACTAACTTGTAATAAAAGCAGGTGCAATTCCTCCGTAAATATTATAGCTGAGTAAGGAGATGTTCTTTCATTGCATGAGGGGCAAAAGGGAAGAGCCTAAATTTTTCTGTTGATCTCTTTCAGTTTGCGGTGATATCCATGGTCAGTTCTTCGATCTGATGAAGCTGTTTGAAGTTGGTGGATCTCCAGCATCTACTCGCTACCTCTTCCTTGGTGACTATGTGGACAGAGGTTATTTCAGCATCGAAGTGAGTGTGAGGGCTTGTCTGCTGTGTGTGTAGGTTGGGGTTTGGGTGTTGGTCATGGAGGAAACTAGGCTGCAAAGACCTTCCATCCACATCATCATTATCTCCACACTCTGGTATTTCCATGTTCCTCTGGTAGATCTCTAGTCCTACACCTTCGATAACCTCAAACTCAACTAAATCTCTGCTGCCCTTAGCTCTCACCGTATCCTATTCACCCATCACCCTGTGTTCTCTGACTGACATTGACTCCTGCTGTGCTAACACTTTGGTTTAAGCATCTCTCATCTTGTTTTCAAATCTCCCCATAGCTTTGCCCCTCCTTATGATCTGAAATCTCCTCAACCCTTTGAAATATCTGCACTCTTCTCATTCTAGCCTCCTGCACACCCTGGATTTTAATTTCCTGACCACTGCTGACTGTGCTCTTATCTACCTGGTGTCTAGAATTCCCTCCTGAAATTCCTGCCTCTCTTTTCTTTTTTAAGATATTTATTAACACCGTTTCCCTTTGACCAAGCTTTTAATCCACTTATCCTAATATCACATTACACAGTTCAGTGTTGGATTCTCTTTAATAATGCTTCTGTGTAGCACCTAGAAATGCTTTACTGTGATAAAAGCATGAGAAGCTATTAATGATAGGGTGGACTAATTCTGAAACAATGCAGGAGTACAGAACCAAACAATTAGTGCCCCTTTTTAAATGTACTTTCTCATTGCTGACTGACAGACAGACATTGGCTCCCAATTATTTTCCTGACCTCTAACCTGTGACAGATCCACTCTTCCTTCACCTAGCAGCCTAGCAGTCAGATACAGGAGTCCCACAATCAGCAATTCTCCCTCTAACCTTCCATCTCTCCCCACTCCCTTTAAGACATTCCTTTTCAACACCAACCCTCAGTCTAGGCTAACTTCTCAAATCTCTCCTTTTTTTCTCCATTTCCATTTTACTGCTGTCTCTGAAACACTCAAGGATGTATTTTAACATTAGAACTGAATTGTGGATGTTCTAATTTCCCTGTCCCCATGCTGTTCTCCCCTCCTCTGTGTCCTCAAGTTGGATTCGATGGAAACTCAACCTATATACAGTACCTCTCTCAGCTTCAATACTTTCAGAAGCATTAATGCTGTTGTCAAGTCAGAAGAGCAGTTTCCAACTTTAATAACAAATGGGTCATCTGTTTTCCTGATATTGGTGAGGGATGACCAGGGTAACTCAGCTGTTCCACTTCAGAGTAATGTCCACTGCTGGTGCTTTGTTCAATGTCTCATTCAAAAGATGAAGCCCCTACTCGTTCTGATATTGATCTGTGCATTCTAATGTTGCATTGCTAGAGATTGGATCTCAATCTCCTGACTCTCCGGTGAGAGAGCTACTCACTGAGCAGGAGTGACACCATGTTGTAGTGCCAGGCCATCACTGGCTCTCCCTTCATTTGAAGATGATTTAGGCTCCACTCAGGGTCATGGGCTTGTGTTGTGAGACTTCATGAGAGTGACCAGGCTGATTACTGACCAGCAGATCTTCGGGTGACCAGCAGTACAGAATGTCCCATGAGATAGTGGGATCTGGAAAGCAGGATTTGTTTCCCGCTGGTCATCATTTAAGGTGTTTGGACTCATTGTGATGTACTTTGATGGACAAGGTATTTATTGCCCTTTTGAATGATTGATAGCATGGCAGTGATGTCCTGCTGATGCCCTGTTTGCTCAACTCACAAACAATCAGCATTCCAGAGGAGGACAAAGAAACCACGGCAAAGACACTGTGAAGCTCTTGTTGAAGCACAGCAGTAAAAGTGGCAGGTCATTGTGGCAGTGGGGGTAGAGTGGCTTTGAGATATCAAAACAACCCAAGTTCTGATTGTTGCTGGTCTTCCATTGTTTGGAAATACAGTTACTATTTGATAATTGAAGTTCCACCGAGTAGGCCAATGTCTATCCTTTTCTCTACTTTTAGGCATCAGTGAACTGACAGGCAAAGTGAGACTGAGGGTATTGTATTGAGTAAAACGCTCGACCATGCTCTTCGGGCTGATTGCAGTTGCTGCTACTCTCTACGAAACCCAACCTGAGCTTAACATGGAGTCAAGTTTATTTCCTGCTTGATTAATGAGTCTTTTGACTCCTGTCCATTTGGAGCCAAATCCCTTCTCAGCACCTTTTGAGTACCCTCACCTTTGATTATTTCTTGTCATTTTGTGCTTAACTACTCTTAAACCTAATGCTGTGGTCGCTATTTCTGAGATGCTCCCACTGACATAAACTCCACTCAACTCTGCAGTGTCAGATCCACCACTGCTTCCATTCTCATTGAGTAAGAAGGACACTGGTCAAGCAAGTTCTCCCATACACATCTGAGGACTTTGTCCTCCTCCTTTGCCTGTTGGCCTGTTTCTTCACCAGTCTATGTGAGGACCATTGACATGTTTTTACATCTTGCTGAAGTTTAATTTGTTTCTTCAATGTTTTCCCACAATATTAGTGTACTGTACAGTGTAAGAGCTCCACATGGATGTTGCTGTTACTGAAGGGTAACTGTGCCAAATGTAGTCTAGTGCACGGCTCAGGTTCAAGTCCCACTCCACAGACACAAGCACGTAACAAAAACTGGCAGTGTCAGTGCATTACTGAGGTAGGAAGGCTATTATTAAACTGGAGAGGGTTCAGAAAAGATTTACCAGAATGTTGCCAGGACTGGAGGATTTGGGTTATAAAGATAGGCTGGGACTATTTTCACTGGAGTGTAGCAGGTTGAGGGATGACCGTATAGAGGTTTATAAAATCCTGAGAGTAGTAGGTAAGGTGACTAGCAAGGGTCTTTTCCCCAGGTACCCAGGGTAGGGGTGTTCAAAACTAAGGGGCATATTTTTAAGGTGAAAGGAGAAAGATTTAAAAAGGACATGGGTGGGGGGATGGGTCAACATTTTTACACAATGGTTCACATGTGGAATGAACTGTCAAAGTGGTAGATGCAGGTACAGAAACAACATTTAAAAGACATTTGGATAAGTTCATGAATAAGAAAAGTTTGAAGCGATATGGGCCAAGTGCAGGCAAGTGGGACTGGTTTAGTTTGGGAATGTGGTTGGCGTGGACTGGTTGGACCAAAGGGTCTGTTTCTGTGACTCTATGCTGCATTGTTGAAGGTGAGGTCTTTCAGATGAGAAGTTAAGCCAAGACCCCCTCTGGTCCATGAGGTGACATTAAAGACCCCTGATGATATATTTTGAAGGGGGGTTGCGGGGTCGGGTGGGGGTTTTGGGAGGTGTTCTTTTCCTTGTCCTATATCCCTCAGTCAGCAGCACTTGCAGATTATCTGGTCATTATCACATTGCTACGTTGTGGGCCCACAAATTCACTGCCACATTTAGTACCAGTGACTACACTTCAAAGTTATTTGATCATCAATAAAGAGCTTTGGGATGTGCTGAGGTTGTGAAAGGTGCTATATAGATACAAGTCCTTGTTTGTTTGGAGACAATGATATGATTCTGAAACACTTAAACACTAACTGCTGTGATATTATAATGTTCTAACTCCTTGGTTAATAGATATAGCACTTTCTCTAATGTCATTAACTTTCAATCATAGAACTTATTTTAATCTCCTGATGGCTATATTAAAAAATAGAATTATACAGTCACTTCTTTCATCTTCCCTTTAATTTTAAAAAAAAGTCTCGTTTATGCACTGGTGGAAACCGGAAACGGCAGAATTGTTTTCAAAGACTATTTGACATTGACACTGGTGACTGAATTAAAATGTACAGTTGATACTTGAAGCATTTTCTCTCCTGATGCTAATGCACTATAATGGCCTCAATCAAAACTTCCACTCAGTAATCCCACTGACAATGTATGTGCTGTACTCTCCAACACACACTCACACAGGGGCAGGCACGCAAGGACATGCGGGGGTAGGCGTACACACGTGGGCTGCTCAGCATGCACACGTGCAGCAATGTTGACTGCTCCTCCTTCACTTAACTCACCAGGAAGCGGGGTGGGATCCTTCTGATGAACCGGTATTGGGGATTGGTATGAGGTGCAAATTACTTGATTCCTAGGAGTACCTCAAAAAAGAGATGTGCAGACTACTCACATAATTCTTTTCCAATCTGTGAATTGAAAACAACCTTTGGTCAATAATATTGGGGTGACTGACATAGTGGACTGGGACCTAGACTAGAACTAAAATGAATCGATGCGAGAGAAATTGAGTTCTCTTGAAGCCCCGGTTTAATGACTTTCTGCTTATTTGAGCAAACATCACAGACTGGGGATCGTTAATCTCACTTGCCTGAGTCACTGCGTTATCCTCTGCTCACAACACACTCTTCAAGGCTCGTTTTACTGTCTAATTAAAATACTGAAGGGTAGGGTCAGCAGGGTGCCAAGATAACCTCATAAAATGCTATTAAGAGTGACATTATTTTATGAATCTCATCTGTGTCAATAATGAAAAGCATTGCAGTACGTGCCTGTTGTTTATTGCTTTTAAACATGTCACATGTAGATGTGTCACACCTGGGCATGTTAAAAGTTTGCTGCTGGATGTCAGTGTAATGCTCCGATGGCAATTGATCAGGACCCGAATCAGATCACCTCCAGAAATCGCCACATATCCAGGTTGACTACTGATAGATCTGTGGACCAGCGAGATGGGTTTTAGTACAAAAGTCCATTCAGTCAGCACTTTACCACAGAGTATCTTTACTGAACACACTAGAGCAAACAGCCTACAAAGTGTATTTAAAACAAGTCTGTATGAACTAAGAAAATTTCTTAATCAAAACTGCAAAAGTTGCTAGAATATCTACTGAACAAAATGCAGTAAGTCAACAACAATCACAAGTGAGTTATGGATATCTTTGAATCAACCTGTTCAGAGATGTTATGACACACCTCAGGAGCAGGGGAGAGTTGAATCTGGGCTCCTTGCCCAGAGGGAGGGACACTACTGCTGTGCCACAAGAGCCCAATGTACAAGTTTAATATGTGAGTAAAACTAGTCTACTTTGTATTGTCTCAAGGTGTAATTGATGGGGAATTATCAAATCGTTTCCATTCAGATCCGGAATAGCGATGTCATGTAGCCAATATCCACTGACATTAAATTGAAAACAGGTTAAATAATGTGTTAGTGGTACAGCTGTCTGTGATAGATGTGCGCTGGAAACAAGACTCCTGAAGTTCCAGTGCTTCCTTTTTGATTTAATTTTGCCAAGGTGGGAAGGATGGGATGGACTCCTGCCATCAGTGTAATGAAGAAGTAAAGAGTTTGAGCAGTGGTTTCTGCAGGAGCCTTCCCGGTGAAAAACTCACAGGCTCAAGTCAAAATGGGAGAAGTCCAATTTGTAATTCAAATAAATCAAAGTGAAACAATTGTTTGCATTTACATAGCGACTTTAATCAAATACAACATCCTGGGGCACTTTCAAATGTTTTTACAGAATGTTTGGCAGCAGGCTGTATGTGAAGATGTGTAAATACGCTACTGGCTTTGTTCATGCATCTCTAGTTCCCAGAAGAATTAGTCATACTATCTGTTCCAAAATGTAATTCCTGCATGTTTTCAAGAAAAGCATTATATTGTCCAAACACTGGTGTAAATTACAATCATGTCGTGACCTCAGTTCGATACAGTGGCTACAAGAGCAGATCTGTGACTGGGAATACGCCAGCAATGACCCACCTCCTGACTCCCCACTTGCCCTGGATGGGTGCAGCTCCAACAACATCCAAGAAGCTCGATACCATCCAGGACAAAGCAGCCCCCACTTGATAGGTGCTACGTCCACAAACATTCACTCCCTCCACACCAACACTCGGTCACAGCAGCGTGTTCTATCTGCAAGATGCGCTGCAGAAATTTATCAAAGATCCTTAGATCCCACAACCATTTCCAACTAGAAGGACAAGGGCAGCAGATATATAGGAACACCTTTACCTTCAAGTTCCCCTCCAAGCCACTTACCATCCTGATTCGGAAATATATCACCGTTCCTTCACTGTCCCTGGATCAAAATGCTGGGCCAAATGGACTGCAGTGATTCCTGAAGGCAGCTCACCACCACCCTTCTCCAAGGCAATTGGGAATGGGTAAGAAATGTTTTCAGTGATGCCCACCTCTGATGACCAAGTATAAATATGAAAACACTGCTCACTAATATGTACAGTCCGTGTGATGATATTCTCCGTAATTCATGTCTTTTCTCTCTCATTTTCCAGTGTGTGTTGTACCTTTGGGCCTTGAAAATCCTGTATCCAAAAACTTTGTTTTTACTTCGTGGAAACCATGAATGTCGGCATTTGACGGAATACTTCACTTTTAAACAAGAATGTAAGTAAGGAATGTGCCTCATTCTGGTGGTTAAGAAGGCTGTTTGTAAAAAGAGCCTTCATAGATGATTGTCTAGAATTCTGCCAGAAAATTGCATCCAATTCTGGGCGCCATAGTTTAGGAAAATTGCCCATGCTTCTCACAGGGTGTAGAGATTACTCTGAACACAACCAAAGCTGAGGGACTTCTGTGAACGTTAGAGAGATTGGAGAAGTTGGGGTTGCCCTCCTTAGAACAGAGGGGGTTGTGGGGAGATTTAATGTAGATGATCAAAACCAAGGTGTTCCACTCATTTGGCGAAACTGCTTCCAGTGACAGGAGATTTGGGAGTGAGAGGTCACAGATTTAAGACAATTGACCAAAATGACAGAGGGGAGGTGATTCTTGTCAATACGATCAGTGGTTATGATCTGGAATGAGCCGCCTGAAAGGGCAGTAGAAGCAAATTCTCTTCCAACCTTCATAAAATTTGAGGGCCCTCTTTGTGGTGCAGTGGTAGTGTCCCTGTGCCTGGACCAGGAGGCTAGGTTTTACCTGCTCCAGAGGTGTGTGATAACATCTCTGAGCCGGTTACTTAGAAAAATAGGTTAAATTTAAGAAAAAGTTTGGACAAATACTTGAACGTTTGGGAGAGCAGAATGTGATGCCCATTAGGTGACTCTTTCAAAGGCACAGGTATGATTGGCCAAATGTTGCCCTGGTCCCTTGTATGTTTCTGTGACCTGCTTATAACATATGCCAAAAGAAGTGAAAAATTTTGTTTGAAGTAACTGATGATGTCCCCAGAAAACCTTCTGTGAAGCCTCACTTCGTTTTGGAGATTGTGCGATACATAGAATATTAAAACCACTGTTTCCGGATCGTTGTCTCCCTCTGCTGCAGGCTAAGGCCAAAACAGTATCAAGGTTTTGAATATGACCAGCACACCCCGTGTGCGCACAGGCAGCCAAATCGGTCACGTGATTTTAAAAAAATTCATTAACTAACATTTGAGGCAAAGATGCAAGGAGTAAGTTATCACAAGTGTGAAGCTCTTCATAATCCTCTGTCAGAGTGAAGGCTGACACTGAAGGTGCATCAACAGCACCCCTACTTCCCACTAAATGCCTCTCAAAAGATCCGCAAAGTGTAGCAAAGAGCCCGAGTGTGACTTGATTCATCAAAAACACTGAGACACAGTGGCATCTCTCTCTCACATTGCAATTCCAGACATTATTCACTGTAGTGTATATTGGAATGTCTGAGGGAATCCTGTGGACTCTGTCCCTGCTTCTGTTGCTGTCAGTGTCCAGTTTGCTTAAAACAAAAGAATGTTGAAACTTATTCCCAACTACTGTTTTTCCCCTCGCCTTCCGAACCTCACCGACCGGCTACAATGCAAACCCAGCTTTGTCACCCTGTAAAACTTGCTGGGTGTCAATAACCCTACTGAATCGGAATTGATTTGATGCCAACAGCAACTTTTCATTTTTATAGCACCTTTTAATGTGGTTTGCCACTGGACCTTATAGGAGATATGAGGCTTGGTGAGCAACGGCTTGGCCAAAGAACTGTGTTTTAAGGAACACCTCAAGAAGGGTAGAGAATGGGAGAGATTTCAAGGAGGAATTCTAAAGCTTAAGAAGTGAACAGCTTAAGGTGCAGTTTTCATCTGGGGAAGGAAAGCAAACTGGGATGTTTGAGATCAGAACACGAGACCAGCAGAGACCAGGGAATACCGTAGGTTATAGGAGGCTCGAGACTG